ACCAAGGGATATTTAGTGTGCCTGAAAAAGCTATTTTTCTGGTAGGAATCTCATTTCAATGTTGATTCCAACAACAAAAAAAAAGCTATGTTTTTCTGTGAAAGTACGAGCTCTTTCCAGCTTTCTCTTTTCTGAGTTCCTTTTCTACTTTAGCATACTTCTTACTGAAGAGATTAAACAGTTTTTAAACATGAAAAAGACAATTAGGATAAAAGGTAATAAGTTTGAGTAGTTAACATTTATGTTATTGGCATTGAAATTATTCCTACAATTAAGAGGAAGTGGCAGAGTCTAGGCCTAAGAGTAATCTAGAATTTATTTAGTTTTTAATGTTTTGTTTTGAGCATAAGCCTTGGCTTTTGTTTGCTGGAGTGTTTTGTAAGAAAGAAAGAGGAAAATACCTACAGCTTCTGTTTCTGAAGATGGTCTTCACAGAGAACAAATGGTTCAAATAGCTCCAAGTGGTTGCAGCATTTTGTTTTCTGATTAACTTCCTTGGTAAGAAGACCAAGGCAGAGACTTACTATCTGGATATTATTGCATTTTTGTCCTTTGGAAAAATAAAATGGGATTAATGTCTGTAAAGGCTGCCTGGTGATAGCTCTACAGACTGATCTAGTCTACCGACTCTCTCTCTAAATACAATTTTATCTGAGAAAGTGAAAAATTTGTCTTTGCAGCCTCGGCAGTGTCCTCTGGTCTGAGCCAGGGTGAGGTCAGCTGGCATAGAAGATGTGTGTGTGGTGGACTCATGCTTTCTAATCCTTTTCCTTTGCTGAATCTGTTGATGGATCTGTCCAAGGAATCACTCACTGCAGCATTTCCTTTCTGTCACTCCACTGATAGCTGAAGTTGAGAATCTCAGCTTTCATTTAGAGTCAGCTTCTCTACACTTTAGTTTGCAGTAAAAAGGCCAAATGTCAGGAAACTTGAATAGAAATGAAAATTGCCCTCCCCCCTTTTAATCAGGTGACAGTGTAGTTCATAGCTGGAACAAGGAGCTTCCTCTTAATCTGA